ATCGGGAAGGATGCAGATTTCAATGATCTGCCCACGCTAGCTACAGAGATTGCAGATTGTACACAATATTTCTCTGTAACTGATATCTATTTTTGTTCATTTTCATTGCAGGCTTCTGTAAGTGAAAACATTAGAAAAATAGTAAAACTAGAGCAGCCGTTGCAGCCCTGGACTCAGACTCAGGCCTCTCCACCATAAAGATGCCCATGGATGCAAGAGGCCATCAAATCATGCTTAACCACTTGCCCTCCTGAGGATTTACCCCCCTTAATGACCAGGCCTCTTTTTGCTACTCGGCGCTGCACTAATTCAACTGATAATTGCGCGGTCATGCAATGCTGCACCCAAATGAAATTTACGTCCTTTTTTTTCACAAAAATAGAGCTTTCTTTCGGTGGTATTTGATCACCTGTGCGCTTTTTTATTTTTCACGCTATAAACAAAAAAAGACCAAAAATTTTGAAGAAAAACAATATTTTTTACTTTCAGCTATAAAAAATATATAGTAAACTCAAAGTTAGTTATAAATTTCGGCCAAAATGTATTCTGCTCCATGTTTTTGGTAAAAAAATCCCAATAAGTGTATATTGATTGCTTTGTGTGAAAGTTATAGCGTCTACAAACTATGGTATAGATACTGCAATTTACGCCATTTTTTTTGCTATACAGCGCTGCGCTGGTTTAACGGACAATTGCGCGGTCATGCAATACGGTACATAAATGAAATTTACATCCTTTTTTTCCCACAAATTGAGCTTTCTTTCGGTGGCATTTGATCGCCTGTGCGTTTTTTATTTTTTGGACTATAAAAATAATTCTGACAATTTTGAGGAAAAAAAACAATATTTTGGACTTTTTGCTATAAAACTTGTCCAGTAAAAAAAAATTTAAAAATCAAATTTAGTCATAAATTTCTGCCAAAATGCATTCTGCGACATGTCTTTGCTACAAAAAACCAAATACGTGTAAATTAATTGGTTTACGTTAAAGTTATAGGGCTTACAAATGGCGGGAAAGATACTGGGATTTTTAATTTTTTTCTATACTAATAATGGCGGCGATCAGCGACTTATGGTGGCGATCAGGGACTTATAGCGGGACTGCGGCGGACATTCTGACACTGGGGGAAAACTGACTTGGGGTCACTGACATCCCCAGTGACACCAAGACAGTGATCAGTGCAAAAAAAAAAACACTGACACTGTACTAATGGCACTGGGGAGGAAGGGGTTAACTTTATTATTCAGTGAAAGGGTTAACTGTGTGAGGGGAGTGTTTTACTAGGGGGCGGGGGTGTGTACTGCAGGGAACACCGCTGATCTGATCGGGACAGATAAACTCTTCTGTCCCGATCAGCGTGTCAGGAGCTGTCAGGGAACTGAAAGAAAGCACAGCTACTGCAGCTGTGCTCCCTGTCACTGATTGCCGCTAATCGCCGGGACACAGCCGGTAATGACCGGCTGTGACCCAGCGACTGACATCCGCGGCCCTGATCGGCGGGACAGGTAGGGCGGCAGTGCGCCTCGTGCGTGCCCCCTACCTGTTTTAAAAACACATTTTAAAACGTGGTTTTGCCCAGCCGTGCCGCCCTGCCGCCGTATTTCTACAGTGGCTGGGCGGCATGTGGTTACCATAACCTTCTCCGCCTGCGAGCAATGAGCCCAGGTGTCTGCGGAGCTCTGCAGAGAAGTACATAGACTGGTAAGCTCCGCTCTGTTATATGTTTTGTTTTTACTGACAAAAGTAAGAAAAAGTCCAAAAATATCTCTGACCTCTAAACCATCTCAAATGGTTAGCCTAACCCTAACATTTAACTCTATGAGAACCTAGAATCTAGGTGCCAGATAAGTCACAGAATGACTACATGGTGCATAGCCTTCTCACCAGGGCTGGTGTTTCCACTCAGCAAACTAGGTAGCCGCCTTGGGTGCACTGCCAACTAGAGGCGCCTGGGTGCAGCACAGGTCATCACTCTCTCTGTGTGGGACGCTGCCACGTCATGAATGAACCTTCAGCTGAGAGGAGTGGCAGCATAGGGAATGAAGAAAGGATAGAGGAAGATGCCAGGTGTCTGGGACCAGTGTAGCAGCTGAGCTGCCACTCCTTCCATCCTTCCAGTGTTCCTTTCAGACTCAGTCCCTTACTGCAAGCCGGCTGGCCACTGCTGATCACTGTGGAGTTCCAGCCTTTCTCTTCCCATTCATCAGCCAAGGTGGAGCTGCACCTGCAGAGGAAGGTAATGTCTGACTCTGATGTCTTGTGTCTGTGTGAGTGTGACCTGGCTGGCCGGCCATCCATCACATGTACAATGTGTCAGTGAGTGACGACATCATCACGATCCCACAGCCTGCTCTTCTACTGCCTGCTGGACCTGCTGATCTGTGTCAGTGTTGGTGGTGGTGTGTTGTGTGGGATCTGTCATTGTGTGGGATCGCTCAGTTCAGGTGTTCTCTGTGTGTGTGGGCTGGGGGGCCTGCTGTCTCAGTGTTTTACCTCCCCCCCATTGCCTGGGGAATTCCAGCCTGGCATCTGTCTGAGTGTGGATCCATCATCCTCCCCTCACCACAACTGTCACCCTGCCACTGCCAGCCATCCGTGAAACTTTCTTGCTACTAAATAATCCACGGTCAACTGTTAGTGGTATTATAACAAAGTGGAAGCAACTGGGAACAGCAGCAACACAGCCACTGAGTGGTAGGCCACGTAAAATGACAGAGCGGGGTCAGCGCATGCTGAAGTGCACAGTGCGCAGAAGTCACCAACTGTCTGCAGAGTCAATAGCTAAAGACCTCCAAACTTGGTGTGGCCTTCAGATTAGCACAACAACAGTGTGTAGAGAGCTTCAAGGAATGGGTTTCCATGGCCGAGCAGCTGCATCCAAGCCTTACATCACTAAGTGCAATGCAAAGTGTTGGATGCAGTGGTGTAAAGCACGCCACCACTGGACTCTAGAGCAGTGGAGACGTGTTCTCTGGAGTGACCAATCATACTTCTCTGTTTGGCAATCCAATGGACATGTCTGGGATTGGCGGTTGCCAGGAGAACGGTACTTGCCTGACTGCATTGTGCCAAGTATAAAGTTTGGTGGAGAAGGGACTATGGTGTGGGGTTGGTTTTCAGGGGTTGGTCCCTTAGTTTCAGTGAAGGAAACTCTTAAGGTGTCAGCATACCAAGACATTTTGGACAATTTCATGCTCCCAACTTTGTAGGAACAGTTTGGGGATGGCCCCTTTCTGTTTCAACATGACTGCGCACCAGTGCACAAAGCAAGGTCCATAAAGACATGGATGAGCGAGTTTGGGGTGGAGGAAACTTGACTGGCCTGCACAGAGTCCTGACCTCAACCCCATAGAACACCTTTGGGATGAATTAGAGCGGAAACTGTGACCCAGGACCTTCTCGTCCCACATCAGTGCCTGACCTCACAAATGTGCTTCTGGAAGAATGGTCCAACCTTCCCATAGACACCCTCCTAAACCTTGTGGACGGCCTTCCCAGAAGAGTTGAAGCTGTTACAGCTGCAATGGGCGGGGCCAACTCTATATTGAACCCTACGGACTAAGACTGGGATGCCATTAAAGTTTATGTGCGTGTAAAGGCAGGCATCCCAATACTTTTGGCAATATAGTGTGTCTTATAGGACAGGAGTTTATACATGCAGATTTGTAAAGTCACAGAAAGGTCCACATTAATTTAAAGTGGAACTCTAGGAATTATTTATACTACCAACTTACAGTGGTCTAGTTTTGCACAATAAAATTATCAATATCTGATATCTGGATGTCCACTGAAGATACTAAAAATCACTGTAGTAGCCCTCTCTATGATCAGTGATGGCCATGATCTTCCTGGTCCCGCTTCCCCTTTACAAATTGAAAACAGGGGGTTGCTCACTCAGCATCGCAGCCATTCAGAGAATGCTTTGGGTTTTTCTTTTGAATAAATTGTAGATGTTCTCTGATTAGAAGAGGGTAGGTTGTCACATCATCCATCATCTCTCCTCTCCACCTTGTTCCAAAAATTCATAAATTTTCTCCAGTAACATCAACTATTTTTGATCCTTATGCTGCTAGCATTAGTATAAACTGAAGATAGGAAGGTATATTGTATTTACTTGTTTTTAAACTTTTTTTACATTTCTTTAGTTGCTTCCTGGTTTCTGGCCTAGGCTAAAATTATGTTATAAATCCAAGGAGTCTTCAGAAGGGGAGGAGGGGCTTTCTCAGCTAAACACATCCTCCTGCCTGTATGCCTGAGCTAAGGGTAGACAGATTCCAGGAAGTAAATGCTCCATGAATCATCTGCCCCTACTCAAGATGGCCATGGCTAGAAATGCCAGGGGGCTAGTTTTTCAAAGAAATTTCTCAACATTAATACCGGCCATATATGTATCAAAATGCAGCTGGTTCAGCAGGGACCAGATGACTTATGATCCCTGTATGGGCACCCTGGTCGTATGAAGTCCATCTACCAATTGACTTCTCACAACCAGCCTATCGTTTCTTCATGCTCGATCAGTTCTGACGGCTAAAGCTGATCATTGTATTCTGACAGCGCAGAAGGCTCCCCAATGTCGAACACAGTTCTGCAGCGGGAAGATTCCTCCATCTACATTGAATGTATGAATGAGGGAATCATATTTTTTTCATTCCATCTTCTGGGTAAATGAAAAAAAAAATGATGAGTGTATGTGCTGCCTAAGAGGCAGCTAAAGAAATCCTACCCGATGAATCCATTCTACAGGTTGCATAGTGCCCACAGACTTGTGATCTTTTCCCAATCTGTCCAGAACATGTACCTGCCCGTGAAGAGATATTCCAGCTATTTCTATTCCCTCAATGATCTGTTATTCCTGGTAATTTGCCAGGTTTGGCAGGGAACTTCTGATTCCGCAATATTTAGAGGGATGAGCGATGCCAACAATGTCAAAGTCTATCCTGCACTTGCACAAGTATATTTGTGTTTTAAATAGCTCTGTACATTATTTCTAGCATTTAAGACAAACATCTGCATTTCTTTTAGCACCGCTGTGAAAATATTTGTCATCATTCATTTTCCTTCAGCCAAAATATTCAATTCCAGCTGAATAAACGTTTCATACCTCCATCTCCATCAGCAGGATTTGGTGCTAAATCCTCCTCCTCTGTTTTATGTTAAAGTGTTACTAAGCCCAGGACCCTGCACTCACTATATCTGTTCCCCCCAGACCCTGCACTCACTATATCTGTTCCCCCCAGACCCTGCACTCACTATATCTGTTCCCCCCAGACCCTGCATTCACTATATCCGGTCTCCCCGGACCCTGCACTCACTATATCTGGCCTCCCCGGACCCTGCATTCACTATATCTGGTCTCCCCGGACCCTGCACTCACTATATCTGGTCTCCCCAGACCCTGCATTCACTATATCTGGTCTCCCCGGACCCTGCATTCACTATATCTGGTCTCCCCGGACCCTGCATCCACTATATCTGGTCTCCCGGGACCCTGCATTCACTATATCTGGTCTCCCGGACCCTGCATTCACTATATCTGGTCTCCCCGGACCCTGCATTCACTATATCTGGTCTACCCGGACCCTGCACTCACTATATCTGGTCTCCCCGGACCCTGCATTCACTATATCTGGTCTCCCCGGACCCTGCATTCACTATATCTGGTCTCCCTGGACCCTGCATTCACTATATCTGGTCCCCCCAGATCCTGCATTCACTATATCTGGTCTCCCCGGACCCTGCATTCACTATATCTGGTCTCCCCAGACCCTGCATTCACTATATCTTGTCTCCCCGGACCCTGCATTCACTATATCTGGTCTCCCCAAACCCTGCATTCACTATATCTGGACTCCCCAGACCCTGCATCCACTATATCTGGTCTCCCCGGACCCTGCATTCACTATATCTGGTCTCCCCGGACCCTGCATTCACTATATCTGGTCTCCCCAGACCCTGCATTCACTATATCTGGTCTCCCCGGACCCTGCATTCACTATATCTGGTCTCCCCGGACCCTGCACTCACTATATCTGGTTTCCCTGTACCCTGCATTCACTATATCTGGTCTCTCCGGTCCCTGCAGTCACTATATCCACTCTCCCCAGACCCTGCATCCACTATATCTGGTCCCCCCAGACCCTGCATCCACTATATCTGGTCTCCCCAGGCCCTGCACTCACTATATCTGGTCCCCCCAGACCCTGCATCCACTATATCTGGTCTCCCCGGACCCTGCATTCACTATATCTGGTCCCCCCAGACCCTGAGTCCACTATATCTGGTCTCCCCAGGCCCTGCACTCACTATATCTGTTCCCCCCAGACCCTGCATCCACTATATCTGGTCTCCCCGGACCCTGCATTCACTATATCTGGTCCCCCCAGACCCTGAGTCCACTATATCTGGTTTCCCCGGACCCTGCATTCACTATATCTGGTCTCCCCGCACCCTGCATTCACTATATCTGGTCTCCCAGGACCCTGCATTCACTATATCTGGTCTCCCGGGACCCTGCATTCACTATATCTGGTCTCCCAGGACCCTGCATTCACTATATTTGTTCTCCCACAGTACACAGAACATGGAAGTGCAATTATTTTAGTAAATATAAATTGCTAAATACCTTTTCTCATCAGCAGTTAGAGCAGTCTTGTGACTTCTATCAGTGTCCAGCAGAGCACTGGTTAAAGCTTGTAGGAGGAGTTTTCATTCTCCTCTAGGTGGATGCAACATTCTGGATTGCAACAGTGGTTTCCTCCTTACACCTTACATACAGTGGAGGAGTGAGCATAATCACCCTAGAGCAGGGTTGTCAAACTGGTGGCCCTCCAGCTGTTGAGAAACTACAAGTCCCATCATGCCTCTGCCATTGGAAGTCATGCTTGTAACTGTCAATCTTGCAGTGCCTCATGGGAATTGTAGTTTGGCAACAGCTGGAGGGCCGCCAGTTTAACACCCGTGCCCTAGAGGCATGGTACTGTCAGAATCACCAAGTAAAAGTATTGAAAGAAAAGCTAATGCAGCCACCACATCTAGGGAATGATAAGCTGAAAAAATTAAATTTTTTCCTTTTGGGTTTGGATAAGATTTACCTGAATGTCACACGGATCTGACTGCTAAATCCCCACGTCGTATCTTTATGTTCTGAATTTCCCAGTATCTGATCACAATGAAAACTATAGCATTTGTTCCCTAAATCTAAGCGCATATTAAAACAGGAATTAACACTTCCAGAGATTTTAATTTTAAATATTAAATTTTAAGTTGAACTGAGTGGTCAAACTGATGTAAGTGCAAGGGATTAGCGAAACCGAGTTATCATTTCACCAAAATACAAATATGCCAGTGAAATTTCAAAATTTCAGTGAGATGCATTGATGTCAATGGAGACGGTGAAATTACGGTGATTTTTGTTATTTTTCTAAGTGTGTAATGGGCTTTAAATGACTTCTGAGGGTTACAAAAGCTCTTTCAATTACCCAGGACAATTACCCTTAAGCCACAAAGTGACCCTTCGTTAGCCTCAATATTTTACATTTTTATTTGCAAAGAAAGAAATTAAAAATGTAAGAAAAAAACAAACTAAAATAAAAAAAAAGATAGCAACAGTGCACAGATTGCAATCAAATACACAAAAACTGGGAAAAAAACCCATACAGTTGCAAGAAAAAGTATGTGAACCCTTGGGATTACGTGGAGTTTTGCATGAATTGGGCATAAAATGTGCTCTGAACGTCATCTAAGTCACAACAATAGAAGAACACAGTCTGCTGAAACATAATACTACACAAACATTAGATGTTGCCATGGTTTAATTGCACATAACATGTAAACATTCACAGTGCAGGGAGGAAAAAGTATGTGAACCTTTGGACTTAATAACTGATTGACCCTCCTTCGGCAGCAATAATCTCAACCAAACGTTACCTGTAGTTGCAGATCAGACCTGCACAACAATCTGGAGTAATTTTGGACCACTCCTCTTCACAAAACTGTTTCAGTGTAGCAATATTCTTGGGATGTCTGGTGTGAATCGCTCTCTTAAGGTCATGCCACAGCATTTCAATCGGGTTGAGGTCAGGACTCTGACTGGGCCACTCCAGAAGGCGTATTCTGTGCTGTTGCAGCCATTGTTTTGTTGAATTACTTGTATGCTTTGGGTCATTGTCCTGTTGCATCACCCATCCTCTGCGGAGCTTCAATTGGCGGACAGATGGTCATACGTTTTCCTGCAAAATGTCTTGATAAACTCTGGAATTCATTTTCCCATCAATGACAACAATCCGTCCAGGCCATGAGGCAGCAAAGCAGCCCCAAACCATGATGCTCCCTCCGCCATGTTTTACAGTGGGGATGAGGTTTTGATGTTGGTGTGCTGTGCCTTTTTTCTTGCAACTGTACATACAAAGAACACAAATACGCCTCAGATAAAAACACCCTGTAAACAAAGAAAAAAGAAAGAAATTGCTTTTTAAAGGATAAGTTCACCTTCTGACCAAAAATAATAAATGCACATTTTTTTGCAGGTAAAAAAAAATCTGCATTAATTATTTTTGGTTGCAGGAGCCTGTAAAGCATTACACTAGCGATCAGAGGATCGCTGGTGCCATGCAGGTCTCCTGCAGACCTGTCAGAATATCTGCTTGTCATACAGGATGAACGAGTATACAGATATACTGACAGGAAGAATGAACTGCCACAGTGCTCCACAGCGCCGTGGCAGTTCATTGAGAACCACAAACCGACAGCCGCTAAGGCTGTTGGGACTTGTAGTTCATTCAAAGAACACTGTGAGTGAGTGACGCGGCCCTGTGGGCGGAGCCCCGCAGTCCACTCTCTATTCAAAAAGTGACCGCTAGTAATGGGAACTTCTATTCATACTGCTGTCAGTGGAGGGGGGGGGGGGGGGGGGGGGGGGGGATTGGGCAGTGGCTGCAGCATTGGGAACATGTTACATGTTCCACCCTAACCCTAGGTTCACATCTGTGCGGGTGGTGCCGCTGCGGATCCGCAGGAAAATCCGTGCAGCCGCACCACCCGCAGAGAGAAATGCGGACCCGCGGGCGGGTGCCATTAGTTCTAAAGGCACGCCGCCCGCACTGGAAAACACAACCATACTGGGAACCTCGGCTGCGTTTTCCAAAGAAGTGCAGGGACTTCTTCCCTGCGTGTCACGTGCACGGGAGTCCATTCAAATGAATGGGCTCTCGTGCCCGAGCAAAACGCGGCCCGCACGGCCGCATATATGTGAACCGCGGGTACAAATGGGGTGGAACGTGTAATATTATAATATCAATGTGCAATGCTAATAAAAATGTGTGTTATAATCAATGATGACCAGTGTAATTGTAAAAAAGAAAGGAAACATCATAAAAAAGAAATAGGGAATTGTGAATACTCCAGTGAAGAAACAAAAAGGACGGGATAACAAATAACAAATTGAAATATATAAGTCCTCTAAATATCATAATAGTCCCAAAAATAGTGATGTGATCAAATCAACAAAATGTAGCGACTTCTGTGACTTCTGCACTGCACCTCCACCATAATGCACTCACCAGAAGTAAGTAGCCAGCAAGCCCAGAGTGGAATGACACTAAGGGGTGTTCCTGCTTCTTTCTCCTGCTGGTTGAAGGTGGGATCTCTCCAGAAGCCAGCGATACACCAAGACCATGAACAAACAAAAGAAGAGTAGCCAAGTCTCCATCTCCAGCCCACGGTGAATCAAGGAAAGAGACTCCTCCTAGAAGGCAAGCTCATAGACCGAGCCCAGAGACAGCATCATATAGTGTAGTATGTTTTATTGAAAATATAGCAAACCACGTGGAGCATAAAATCATCATTGGATAAAAAGCACTTACAAAGATGGACCATCACGTGGATGCGGCGGCGGCGTGACGTCACCATGTTGGCTCCTCCCTGATGCGTTTCGTGCACATGCACGTTCTCAAAGGGGTCCACCTAGACTAGGTGAATATTGTTTATAATACAATTATTTTGTTTTCCATAATTTTAGGTTTTAAGTCCCACCCACACATGTATTTTTTTTTTTTTTTTGCAGAAAGTGAAGTTCTAATTACTGAAGCCTATATATTTAGAGAACATTGCTAAAAAAAAAAAAAAAAGGAAAATAAAAAAATGTATAGAAACAGTACACAGATTGTATTCAAATAAACAAAAAACTGGGGAAAAACATACATACAAGGAATACAAATACACCGAAAAAAAAAAAACCCTTTAACTTAAGAAAAAAGAAAGTAGATTTTTAAAGCAAATTTCTCCAAAACAGCAGATTTGAGAGTTTCAGTTGCAGCCACATTTTTCTAGTATAGTTTTTAACAGTTGAGCATTTTTATATGTCAAATATTGTTTGTAATAAAATTATTTTGTTTTTATTCATTTTAAGTTTTAAGTCCCACACATGCATTTGTTTTTGTAGAAAGTGAAGTTCCGCTTTAGTTTTTTTTTTTTATTGAACCCTATATATTTGAAGAACATGTGCCCAACTGACAAATGATAATGGCCTCTTAGGATCTGTTATGTGAATGTAGTCAAAATCTATAAACATTCGACCACCAGACATTCTATGGAATGGACAAATCAACATTCAATGTAGTACTAACTTTCGAATTAAGTTTACCTAACAACATTTTGGTTTTCATCTGCACATGAGTCAATATTTATACTGAGACACCTAATGAATTTACACTGTTCACATGGAACCAAATAACATTCAAACAGAAAAGATATCCCAAGAACATTCAATTTTGCCCTATTTGCACAATGCATACAGCTTTATACATTGTGTGAAAAAAATCCCTAAATCAAATGTACAAATGGAAAATTTACATACAAAAGTATTGGTCGGAACCTGCCTTTACACGCACATGAACTTTAATGGCCTCCCAGTCTTAGTCTGTAGGGTTCAATATTGAGTTGGCCCCCGCCCTTTGCAGCTATAACAGCTTCAACTATTCTGGGAAGGCCATCCACAAGGTTTAGGAGGGTGTCTATGGGAAGGTTGGACCATTCTTCCAGAAGCACATTTGTGAGGTCAGGCACTGATGTCGGGGGAGGAGGCCTGGCTCACAGTCTCTGCTCTAATTTGTCCCAAAGGTGTTCTATGGGGTTGAGGTCAGGACTCTGTGCAGGCCAGTCAAGTTCCTCCACCGCAAACTCACTCATCCATGTCTTTATGGACCTTGCTTTGTGCACTGGTGCGCAGTCATGTTGGAACAGGAAGGGGCCATCCCCAAACTC